TCAATTACCCTGAGGATCCCGGATACATCAGAGGCTGATATGATGACCCCGGGACAACCTGGAGACAAGTAATCTTTAAAAGAATTTTCTGAATCGATCTGGGCGTCTTCGAATAATCGAGAAACATAATTTTTTTTTAATTCAGTAACAGTCGAATATGTATATGGTACGCAATAAGTAGGTATATTATAACTATTACTACGTCGCCGCCGCCGCGTTGTCGGTGAACGCGTTCTTTACAAAGGAGGCGGCGGCTTTCTTTTGAGCGTCGACCGTTGGTAACTGTAGGTAAGTTTAATTATGGATTCTCAAAGTGTTGGTGTTCACACTTTGGGCTATGTTCGCTCGGCTTATTGTCGGGTTATTTCGCTCTAGTAAAATTACACTCTGTCGCTCTCCTCCCTCACGCGGGATTGGAGCGCCATTTGAAGCTGACTATTAATTAAATAATTAAATAATAGTTTAGTTCGTTATTGACAAAACGTTGCCCGTTTAATAAATATATCAATAATACAGCATAGTCGTTTGTCGTTGGTTCATTCAAAACACAAACCAACAGTCGATAGGTACGGTACGCAATAAGTAGGTATATTATAACTAATACTACGTCGCCGCCGCCGCGTTGTCGGTGAACGCGTTCTTTTCAAAGGACGCGGCGGCTTTCTTTTGAGCGTCGACCGTTGGTAACTGTAGGTAAGTTTAATTATGGATTCTCAAAGTGTTGGTGTTCACACTTTGGGCTATGTTCGCTCGGCTTATTGTCGGGTTATTTCGCTCTAGTAAAACTACACTCTGTCGCTCTCCTCCCTCACGCGGGATTGGAGCGCCATTTGAAGCTGACTATTAATTAAATAATTAAATAATAGTTTAGTTCGTTATTGACAAAACGTTGCCCGTTTAATAAATATATCAATAATACAGCATAGTCGTTTGTCGTTGGTTCATTCAAAACACAAACCAACAGTCGATAGGTACGGTACGCAATAAGTAGGTATATTATAACTAATACTACGTCGCCGCCGCCGCGTTGTCGGTGAACGCGTTCTTTTCAAAGGAGGCGGCGGCTTTCTTTTGAGCGTCGACCGTTGGTAACGGTAGGTAAGTTTAATTATGGATTCTCAAAGTGTTGGTGTTCACACTTTGGGCTATGTTCGCTCGGCTTATTGTCGGGTTATTTCGCTCTAGTAAAACTACACTCTGTCGCTCTCCTCCCTCACGCGGGATTGGAGCGCCATTTGAAGCTGACTATTAATTAAACTTACTTTACTTATTATATTTTATTAAATGTGATAATAAAACTATTTTGAACTTAAATATGAACTTCTTTCAGTATTCCGAGGCGAATCCAGTTTGTGTTACTGGAACATCATATTTAAGTGATAGACGAAGCCTTGTTATTCCTGTAAGTACCATAAAAGTTAATATCTTTCTACAAAGTACAACCATGTGTAAACCATTTACAAGTACAATCTTGTTTTTGTTGTCCAGTCATCAGTGGCTAGAGTAACAGCCGATGTTGATACCCTGCCACCCTTGCCCCCACAACCTCAAGATCTCCAACACGCGGCTCCTCAAGATTTCATCTCCCCAGTTCGCCGCACGCAATCTCCACGACGAACAAGTAATTTAGAAAACGAGCTATTTTTTTTATACAACTTAGAATGGCAAATGAGCCAACGATCTATCTTATTGATCTGAATGGCAACCGTCACACAATGTACTGTGATGTCCATGGTACTCCTCTTACATTGTTTTTTCTAAGGACATAATTGTTATGCTTTGTTTTATCCTATACCTTTAATTACACTGCAATCACAGTTATTTTGGCGGTAGGAAGACGAGTAAAACATAGATAGGTGCCTATGCAAATGACTATAAGATGTCTCCCTGTAGTAAAGTAATTATTTACTTTGCTGTCAATACTAATGTTAATTTTAAAATTTTCTTGTAATTATGTAATATTTTTTTATAATGGACCGTATAACTAACCCGACTGTTGGACTAACAAAGTCATTACAGAATCATTGCGAGACTATTATTTAAATTTTTGAAACTAGTCTATAATGCTAAAAAATATCTTATATAGATTACAAATAGTCTTGTGAAATCATTCTTAATTTTTGTTCTATATTTATATAATGAAATGTGCATATATGATAATTTATATATTGTAGCATAAAAATTCCGTATGTTGTAAGTTCGGCAGTAAGAATTTCATAATTACTATTCTTTTACAGCTCCACGCCGTAGGCGGCGATTGATACCTGCGTCTCCACCTTCTCAGAGGCGGTCACAGCTTACCAGCCTCACTGATCGCTTCCTGAGAGTGGAGGAGCAGCGGTTAGAATTAGATAGCAGAAGTGTAGCTGTATTAGAAAATATGGCTAGACTAATGAGGGAATTCTTGCAACGAGACCAAGATACGTGTCATGAGGTTAGCCAGGGATTGCTGGCTGTAGGGGAGGGATTAAAATTATTAGCCGAAGCATTAAAAAAATAAAATGTTGAGAAAAACAAGGTCTTTTATTTTTATTGTTTTTTGACAAAATGTTTGTTATAGTAAATATTACTCCCTACGAGAACGCCATAACTGATTAACTAGCATATCTCTGCTTGATTGACCCATTGCCAACTCGCTCTGAGAGTGGGTCAATGGCAACTGACGACCCGCTGAGACGCGTGCAGTTGCACGAAAATTTGCTTCTTCCTCCTCATCATGACTATCTACAGTCGGTGCAGGTAAACCAGTTCTATTGCAAATGTTGTGCAGGACATAACATGCTATCACTATTTTTCCGGCTGTATCAGGATGGTAATGTAGAACGTGGTGGACAAGCAAACATCTAAAACGTCCCTTAAGTCTATCAATAGTTGGTTCGACTGTGTTACGTGCTGTTGCGTGTAGTTTATTGTAATATTCTTCAGGTGTACCCTCAACAGCGTTAGGAATAGGAGTCATCAAATAAGACCGCTGAGCATATTCTGAATCTTTTACAACAAACATTAAAATCGGTTAGGTCAAATCTTTATCATATAGGCGGAAGTTAGAATCAACTTTAATCAATTGATCTCACCAAATAAATATACAGTTTCACCAACACATACCAATTCTTCTAAATGGTTTTTTATATCACTATTATTAAAGATAAAACTGTCGTGTGTGGCGCCATCATAAGTAGCGTCTACATGTATTATATTGAGATCTGCATCTGTGTACTGAAAGATAAAAATCTAGATATAATTATTATACTTACTAGCGACTGCCGACGACTTCGTTGGCGTATATATCATTATAAATGACATTCTGATATCTGAGCTATCAATAATAGATATATAATTAATATCTGTTTTTAAGTATCTTATTATTTCCCATGTTTCCCAGAATTATATAAATTCACTTAATTTAGAACAAATGTTACGATGTTTCTAAATTAGATTAACTTAGGAATAACTTTTTATTTTTCATACCAATTGAACATTCCTAGCATGATTGCCTTTACGACAATAATAGCGCTCTTCATTTTCTGTGAGTCTAACTATTGTCACAAAAGTCCCATCCACACACCCGATTACTCCAGGAATCTTGAACTTTTCATAAAATCTGATATTATACAAAATATTTTTTTATGTAATAAAAAAATATTACCTACCTAACAAAACAGACAAAGAAATAAAATTATAAAAATTCGTCAAATTAAAATATATTATAAACTTCGATATTATAAAAGACAGTCAATATTATTTATAGTTATAGATTATGAATTAAATATTATTTTATCAAAAGTATTTGTATATTACAAACCGTTCTTTTAATGCCAGCCTCTCCTCTGCATTCTGTGGGAATTTTATATATTTGCTTATAATAGTTGGATGATTTAATGTCTCCACTACCTCGCAAATGCAGCGAGATGCAGACGGTTGGGACAAAAAAGTATTTATATTTTTCCCTATTATCCTTTGATAACTGCCACTCGCCAAGAACGACAATGTGCACAATAACTCTAAAGAGATAAGTAAATAAGTCATATTATGTGCTTATCTACTATACTATTTATTATTACTTGATTGTACGGAAAATAAGTGGTAGCATAACATAGTACCTAATTAAATGACTATTCAAGTTATTTAAATTAGGCACCTAATAGATAGCTGGATCTTACCTTGATTCTAACGGATAACCCTCGGTGGCGACGTTGTGGTTTCCTAATGAAAAACTTAATATCTTCTTCTAATTGATTTATCAATTCTTCTGAAAGTTTGTACACATTCACATAATCCTTATTTCTATTAAACAATGGCATTGCACGAATTTGTTGAGCTTGACGTCAGCTGTTATATAAATCTAAAGAGTTCGCTTTTTCTAATAAACTCAATAACACAAATAATCTAGCCATTTTAATGTATTAGGCAACCAAAAAACTTATGTTTAAATACAATTTATAATATTTTTATAAAATCTCGATCACTCCGTAGGAACTTTATATTTGACAAATTGAATCGTGTGTCTTGGGTGAAGTGAGTATCTCATAAATCTATAACTTCCGTATTAATAAAGATATGTACATGATTTTTTTTTTCTGATAATCTTAAATATATATGCTTTTAAATAATGTATGTTTTGTGAGTAAAAATTTATTTCTAATAGTTATAAATAATATATGTAACGGGTGAACACGTTATTTATTGAAAATTGTATTACAATACATTACAATATTAAACAACAAACAGTATTATATGATATCACTAGGACACTCATCGCCCAACTACTCTCTCGTTCGTTAGTCGCGAACTTTTTTGAAGCGCGAGAGGCGCGCTCCTATTGGTCGGTCGCGCGGTTACCGCGCGACGCGCCTGCGCTGTACGTTTAGATGGGTCTCACGGCGTAGGTACTTACTATGCGTGCGTAATATATATACCTTTCGGTGTTACATATAGGAATACAAGAAATATAAAATTTGTAGACTTACATTTATGTCCTAAGAAATTTATACAGGAATAAGTAAAAGTATCTGCGTAAAAAACAAAAACTCTTAAAAAGATAACTGAGAAGTCACTCAAGAGCTCCTTTACTTCATCAAAAAGTTCTAAATATTTTTTGGAAAGTTTTCTTAAACTTGTTATGTATGGGTCAGAGGTATATAAAAGTGCGTGTAGAACATCTTCATCATCATCATTAGCGGCTACCCTATAACATTGTCTCGCATGATGAAGCCTGAACTGTTTATAGTCTTTATTCTGTGACTCTTGAGCATCTTCTGCATGTTGCCCAAGAGGCAAGACAGAAAAGTAACGTATCACACTTTCACAATGAATCAACACCTTGTGATTTTGGCGGATAGCAGGATTCTGTAACTTCACGAATCAACTTGTATGATGGAAACAGTAAGCAATTCTTTGCTATCAAACAACTCATCATATTTTCATACTGTGCCTTGTTCAGATCCAATTCTACAAAAATGCTAAGATCTTCATCTTTTGAATATGCTGTTATATGTGTCGGTTCATTAAGAAGATTACTGCGTATTTCACTCTTTTTTTTTTCTGATAGCCATGCTCGTAAAATATCAACGATGAATGCTTCATCTACTTCACCACGTGACCTTAAACCCTGTATATATGAGTTCAGTATGAAATCAAGTCCACAGGTATCAAGCAGTCCCTTGTTTTTCCGTTTCTTTGTACTGTCTGAACTGTCATCGTATGTTTTAGAAGGTCTTCCTCTTTTCTCTGTCGAAGTAGAAGGTTCAGGTTCACATGTAGTTTTTTCTAGATTTACAGTAAAATTGACATTAAACCAATTGCTATTTTGATTTAAAAACTGTTCTTTCTTTCGAGCACATTTCGTATAGCGTTGACGAAATTGAGTTATGAAGGACTTCTAAATACTTGCAATAATTTTTGCTATATTTGCATCTGAAGATTCGGTAATATTATTTCGTATATAGTTTGAGATAAAATTAATATAATTTGTATCACTTTCAACAATAAGAGACTTCAGTCGCGTCCGGTACACGAGACTTCACTCGTTGCGGAGAGATAAGTAATTAACAATTGTTTAGAAATGACAAATGCTTATAAAAAACTGTAATATTTCATATGTAAATGCACTATTTTATACTTAATAATGATCATAGACGTGTGCAAAATGACTCGATTTAAAAAATTCATCATTATGCGATTATGCGGTAAAGAATAGGTATATATGGAAATGGGAACTAAATACTGTGTGAAATACTTGATAAAAGTAACGCAAAAGATAAAATATAAAGTAATAATTGAGACAAAAGTATTTTTTTGAGTGTCCAGGCAGAGAATTTCAAATAAAGAAAAAATCTTAATATACGTACTTAGAAAAAATCATTCTCACCATGATATTATACTAGATTTAAATATGTTACGCAGTGAAACTGCAAAAAAAAATGTTTTACCATCAAATAACATTATATTTCCTAATAAATTAAACCAAAATCAGAACTTCGGCAAGCTTCGGCAAATATCAAATCTCCAACTGAAAGTTTGAAAAAAGAAAATGATACATATAACGATATATGGATTTTTGATTAAGTAATATTCTACTAAACTAAATATATTTTTATTTTATAGTATAGTACACATTCTAAGCATTCTAAAATGGTATCACACTATATGACTTCTATTGTTTTGATACTATAAAATTATACCAAACGAAATTGAAGTTATATAATTATTTTTGTATTTTTTTCATTCCTTTACTTTAGATGCTCTGTTCTATGAAGTATGAATAGTGACTAGTTTGAATCATACTTACAATGATAGAGTAACTCTTTCGCTACAATTTGAGGTATTATACATGCATATCCACGGAGTTTTAGAAAAAGTATTTATGAGATGGCTTTCTTAGGCGAGTTCCCACTGTGCGCCGCCGCGCGTCGGATAGCAAACGTTCCGCGCCGTCGAGACGGCATCTTTTGGATTATTACGACACACCTTCAAGGGCGATCGGAGGTACAAAATTGTAATAAAAATGTTATTAAGCAGTGAAATTAATAAAAATACATTTTAATAACATATTTATTAGATTTATTTTGGAGCACAATGTTGTGTAGTGAGCCTTTAAAACAGAGCTCGAGTCGCGTCTCGAGCCTCGGAACTAGGGCTCGAGTCTGGGATTGAGCCTTCGCAATATGGCTCGAGGCGAAGCTCGAGCCTTCATAGGAGACTTGAGCCTTGAATGAGTCGATGACTCGGGAGACTCGAGCCTTTTAACAAGTCTAGCTGCATTACAGTTTTTTAGTAAAATCATCGATCTTTATAATCAGCAAAAGGTGATTTCAATTGTGTTCATGGAAAATATTTAAATTACATCACAGATATTTAGTATTCCAAACTTTGGAATAATTGAAAGTGCATCGGCATTAAGCTCTGTCCTTGTGAAATACTGTATGTTGACGTGAATAGGCGAGAATTAGGACGACGATACAGTTAATTCAGAAAGTAGCATTTGAGTTGACAAATGTTACC